CATGACACTTATCTCCTTAGCCTGTTTCGTGTTTCTTCATAGCACTTATCGGCGATGACATATATGAATTCATTTATTGTTTGTCTGCCCCACTAGGATGTAAGCTAGGTGAAGGCAGGGAGTTTCGTGTCTGTCCGTTGTTGTATTTCTAGCACCTAAAACAACGCGTGGTCCACAGTAGGCACTCAGTAATGACAGGAGAAAATGGATGAGCTGGTGAAGGAGTGAGAAGGGGTGATGCAGACAGAGGGTGCAATGCATGCAAAGGCACAGAATGGGCCCTTCATAACAAAAACTTTGTGGGGCAGTTGGATGGGGCGAGGGGTGGGTGTGCGGATAACACACAGACAGGGGCTCGCTAGCCCAGGACAGGTCTCCTAAAGACCCCGTCTTTGTTGTTTTCATTTACGACCTGTTTATTATAGAACAGCTGAAAAGTACTGAGATGTACCCAAATGCAAATGGCCACCAGCTAGCCTCTCACCCAGGCCGATGAGAACACTTTGATTCCTTTCCTTATGCCTTTTTTGCATGGGCTCGTCTGAAAAATCTCGCCTTTTAATTTGTGGGCCAGATCTCCCTTTCGAAAGCACACAGCTGGACCCAGCGCAGCCTAGTAACTTCCAGCTCAGACCTATAAGGGTGCAAACCACAGCTTTGCAGCGTACTGGCTGCAACACCTAGGGCTTCGCGAGCCGTGCACCCTAGCAGGAGCTGTCGCTCTACCTGAGACACCCTTCCACTCTCCCCCAGCCTCATTTCTGCTTGTTTTTCTAGACTTGGGGGCTCAGCCCGAGAGCCACCGTCTCTTCTGAGCTTCGGTTTCTTTTTCTGTAAAAACGGGGATGAACCTAGTTTTTGTATCTTAGATGATTCTGAGGAGTCGGTGAGATGACACCAGTTACGAGGCTGACTCTTCCCCTCCCCATGACACCCGGTCCCTCTCCGGCTTTTTTCTCTGTTGTACTTTCTTTGCCCTGCAAACCTTTTGAAAGCTTAATCCTGTCCTAGGCTTTCACCCCGCAGACCTGGCCAGAACTCAGCCTTGGTTTCTCAAGGTAGCAGAGAATGTCGTCCAAACGGTGGTGGGCTCACGACACAGAGTCAACTTGAACCCCCTGGGCAAGTGCGGGAGGAGGTCAAGGGACATTTGAGCCCCCCCCCCCCCGAAAGGGGCACCTCCCCCAGGTGTCTTGGCATGGCTGTCTTTCCCCCCAGTATTCTCCTTTTACACTTAAAAACACCGGCACCAATAGCTCCTTCCTTTTAAATCTGCCGAGGGCCGTACCCTGGCGGGGAGCCACGGCCATGAGAATCCAATCCCCGGAATAGTTCCTGCTGCTCAGCATTTAAATGCCGACTGTATTTTTATCCGATGATGGGTCACTTCTGAAACACACCCCCCTCATGTTCGGCCCCTCTAAGAATACATTTCCATTTATAGCGTCTGCCCTCGGGATGTTGTGTCCTGGGCTGAGGCCGGCAGCCGCGGCCTGTTTCCAGTGATTTGGAAACGCTTCGGGGCCCTTGCTGTCCCTCAGCCTGCGCTCCCTGTGGCCTTGACAGCAGAAAGCCTGACTCCCAGCCAAACTCAGGCTCCAACACTAGGCCTTGCCTCTTTCTGTGAGAGTATGAGCTCATCGGGCTGTTGCAGGTGGGGGACGCAAATGGGGATGAGGAGACCCCCGTCCAGCTGTGCTGTGCCCAGGCCTCAGGGTGGCACCACTTAGCAGTACGGGACCCTTCCTCCTTCACTCGCTGGCCGAGTGCCCACGGCCTGCTGTTTCGCCAGGCTCTATGTGGGCACAGGAGGACAAGAGACAGCCAAGGCCCCCGAGGGCCAGTGTGAGACTTTGGGGAGGCCGCAGAGGGACTGCAGAGAGTCAGTCCAGTCCTGATGCTGCTGCTTGCTGGCTGTGTGAGCTCAGGCAAGCGGCTCAGCCTCTCTGAGTCTCGATTCCCACATTTGTTGACGGTATCTCATGGGTGGTGGGGAGGGTTTAGTGGGATAGAGTAGGTCGAGTCTGTAAGCAGCGCTTGTCCTGTGGAGCAGGAGCCCAGGAAAAGCCAAGCCCCTTTCCCACCCCTGTGCTGACCTGTGGGGGTCGTCACAAGCTGAAAGTTTGGGAAAATAAATTTGAAGTTGGAAACAAACACACGGCTTATGACTTACCAGTTCTAGCACCGGCAGCTCTTGAGCTGTGCTGGTTCCTGCCCTCCTGACCCCATTCTCTGGCAGGGCCTGGAATCTGCAAATTTACCCGTCGTCCCAGTGGACTCTGAGGCCCACAGACCACACTTTGAGAAGCGCTGTCTCCTTCATCCATTCCACAAGTATTTCTGCGGACCAGCTGTGTGCCTGGGGCTTTTCTAGGCCCTGGGAATAGAGAGGCACTCAAAAGCAGGCGAGGTCCCTGCTGTCTTGTACCTTATATTTTAACAGTGGATTGGGGCAGTGAACAAATACACAAAATACAGCATACTATCAGGTAGTGACCTTAAATGCTATGAAGAAAAAGCAGAGGAAGGAAATCAAAGATCAGAGGGGTGTTTCAGTTGGTGGCCAGGCCTGGCCTCTCTGAGTAGGTGGCATTTGAATATAAATTTAATGACATGAGGGAACAGACCATGCAACTATCTCAGGGAAGAACATTCCAGATAGAACGACAAAGGCCACGGGCCTGAAGTGGGAGCAAGGGACAGCTGGCATGAGGATGTGGAGCTGGAAGACTGGTGCCCCCACCCGCCCTCTGCTGGAGCCGGGCCCAGCTGGCAGGGAGCTGCTCCTGGCTGAGCCACTGCTGAGGGCGTGAGGAACCTGTGTCATTAAGAGTCTTCTATAAAGCAACAGCTATTTGTTTCTTACCTATTTTTCCTGTCGCTAGAGAGCTCAAAACTAGTATCTGCCACTGTTGTGCAAAATCCTGAATTCTAACAGGTGAAGGGCGTGGTCTGGTCTGGCCCAGGGAGGCCTCCATCTTTTTGCCAATAGACCATCTGAAACGCACTCTGAGAATCTCGCGGTCGCCTTCCTGATCAGCTCCTTTTACTTTCTTGCTCATCATCCTTGCCCCGGCAGCCAGCACGGTGCGTCTCACCACTTCTCGGGCACTTGGAAACCCCAGGAGGACACAGATGGCGACTTGGAAGGACTCTGGAGACCTTGTCACACTGTAACACAAAATGCAGCTGCCCTTTCTGTGTTGCAAATGTGCAAGTGTGGATTCCACACCCCCTGGGGTTCCTCGTACCTCTGTTGTTTTGGGATCCTAGAGCAGGTTTTGTTTGGGAAGCTGTTGAGCTTTGATCTGGGCATGTGCAGTGTGATCGGCCGGCGGATGCCCCTGGGAATGAGGAAGCTCTGTGGGTATTACTGTGTGAGCTCCAGAGGACGGGGCCACATTTGTCAATGTGACTTTCTCCTGGATCTCTGGCACTTGGCACAATAAATCGAGGCGTAGAAGAGTTGACTGTGGGAGTTAAAAGAGAAAGGGCCCGAACACAGCCCCTAGGGGGCTATGCCCGGATATCAGGGGCAGGAGGAGGAGGAGGAGGAGCAGGAGCAGACAGAGAGGATGCTGAAGATTGGGGCTGCTTTAGGCAGCCAAGAGAAGAGAGGTCCAAGAAGGACAGTCAGTAGGCTCAGTGTGGGGGCAGCACTGAGGAGAGCCAATGGCCCCTGGCCCTGAGTGACTCTTGGGTGATCTTAGCTAGAGCAGGAAGAGAGAATGGGTGAGGGGGGTTCGTGTCAGACTGCTGTGGGATAAGGATGAGATGGAAGGTGAGATGTGAGGTTTTTCTTCCTAGGCCAATTGTTGAGAAGTGGGCTGTGTGCTCCCTGTCACATCACATTGAGTGGTACATAATAACTGGTTGACTTCTCTTTGACATGCTAAGATTGACCATTGGATGCAGGCGGCAGTCGCCTGATCCATTGATTACGGAATTTCTCATCATTGCTGATATTTGCCTAGATCCAGTGTTTTTCATCAGAGGATGCAGTGATGGTTTTTAACAATTCTGTCAGTCTTTCCACTTTATTCTTTGAAATTATTCTACAAAATAGAACTTCGCCCTTATCAACTAATTGGTTACCTAGAAAAACATTTTATGTATAAAATAAGTCAACATACGTGCTTTCCCTTTATTTACCAATTTCAGAATAATGAGTTGGTGGCCTCGCATCTCCAAAGGTGTCCAGTGAGGCTTTTTTGTTTTTGGAAGTATCATGATGAACTCACAGATTGCTTGATGTATTTAATGTGTTTCAGTCATGGCTGTCATTAAAAAAATTATTTTCCCAACAGCTTTATTGAGGTGTAATTGATATACAATAAACTTTACATATTTGAAGTGTACAATTTGAGAAATTTGACATATGTGTACACCCATGAAACCATCATCACAATCAAGAGAGAGATCACCTCCCAGAGTTTCCCCGTGCCCGTCCCTGCCTCCCTCCCCAGGCAACTGGTGATCTGCTATCACTCTAGATCACTTTGCACCTTCTAGAATTTTATACAGATGGAATCGTACCGTATGTGCCCTGGTTTGTCTTTCATTCAGCATAATTATTTTGAGAATCGTTTATATTGTTGCTCAAATCGATACTCCACTGCTTTTTATTGCTGAGTAAAATAGTCCATTGTGTGGATATGCCATAACTTGTCTACCCATTTGCCTATTGATGGACATTTGGGTTGTTGCCAGTTTGTGGCTATTACAAATTAAGCTTCCATGAATATTAACACATGTGTGTGTATGGGAATATGCTCTCGTTTCTCTTGGGTAAATGCCTAGGGGTGGAAAGGCTGGATCCGATGGTAGGTATATGTTTATCTGACAGACTTGCTTCTGTAGTGGTTGTACCACTTGTCTTTCCCACCAGCAATGTCTGAGCGTTCCAGTTGCTGCACATTCTCACCAACACTTGCTATGTTCAGTATTTATAATTTTATCCATTCTAATAGGTATAGAATAGTAGTATCTCACTGTGGTTTTAATTCTCATTTCCCCAGTGACTTTAATGTTAGCATCATTTCATGTGGTTATTCACCATCAGTAAATCTTTGGTGAAATGTCTGTTCAAATCTTTTGCCCAGTTTTTAATGGGTTGTTTTTTTTCTTACTGCTGAGTTTTGAGAGTTTCTTTATACTACATATAAATCCTTTATCAGACACGTGGGTTACATATATTTATCCCAGTCTGTTGCTTGTCTTTTCCTTCTTTTAATGGTGCCTTTCATAGAGCAGACGTTTTTAATCTTGATGAAGCCTTATTTACCAATTTTATGAATCCTGCTTTTAGTGTCTTCTCTTAAAAAAAATAAAAAAATCTTTGCCTAACCTACGATCACAAAGATTTTCTCATTTTCTTCTAGAAGATTTATAGTAAGCCTTGAAGTCAGATCCAACTGTGTTCTTTTTTCAGAGCTGTTTTGTCTATTCTGAGTCCTCTGTGTTTCCATACAAATCTTAGACTCAGCTTGTCAATTTCTACAAAAATGCTTGCTGGGATTTTGTTTGGGATTGAGTTGAATCTGCAGATCAATTGGGAGAGAAATGCCATCTTAGTAGTAGTGAGTCTTCTGACCCATTAACACAATATATTTCTCCATTTATTTAGGTCTTCTTTAATTTCCCTCACCAATGTTTTAGAGTTTTCCATATCTGGGTCTTGTACTTCTTTTGTCAAATTTATCTCTAAATATTTAATAGTTTTCATGCATTTCCTAAGAATAATAGGAGTAACCATTGTGTTAGCTTTTAGTTACACCTTCTATTGTTTCTTTCTAAAGATACCAGCAAGGATGTAAATTTATTTTTATCCACCCCCCACCCCACCCCCACACAAACACACAGATAAAATTGAACAGAACACAGTGTTCAAAGTTCGCTTTTTTCTCTTTCTGTGTGGAGACCTTTCTCACTCTCCTTTACTGCTGCATCACCCTCCACTTTATGGATAGTCTGTAGTTATGAACCAGTCCCCGTGGATAGACGTTTGGATAGCCTCCAGTCTTTTGCTATTACAGCTGGGGCTGTGGTGAATAGCCCTGTGCACACGTCGTTTTATGTTTTCACCTGGAATTTACTGAATGCAATTAACTGGCCAAGCCCTGTATGACCCACAGGTGGTTTAGGAACAAACCTGACCTGCACTAGCCCAGCAGGAGTGGAAGACCCCGCAGCCATCTCGGGGCTGGGCCAGGAATGAATATATATTGGGTTGTCAGAAAAGTCATGACGTATTTTTTTCTATGTTTTTCATTGCAAAAATGTGTCAGGACTTTTCTGACAACTCTATCTATCTATCTATCATCTATCTATCTATCTATCTATCTATGTATCTATATATCTATCTATCATCTATCTATCTCCACAGAGCCCAGTGAGGTGGGAGAGGCTGCCTCCGGAGGGGCCTTCTGAATTTCAGTGGTCAGATGTATTCCCCTTCCTCTTTGGCCAGACTAGGTGGCTTTTGAGGGAAGGAGGGATTGGGGGGGGGGTGTTGGACAGGACTTTGTGGTCAGAGTGGGTATTCTGACATGGGAGAGGTCACAGGTGGAGGTGAGTGGACCTGGGAGGCTAGCCTGTAGATAGAGACCTCCACATGGGCACCGAGATTTGGGGAGAGAACCGCAGGGGATGGGCTGGAGGGAGAAAAAGTTGAGTGTATTAGTGTTGCATGCAGAGAGTCATCACCCAAACCTCCTGCAAATCTAGGAGGTCGTCTCCCTGTCCCAGGTAGGCCTGTGGCGCAGTGGTTAGACACAGATGCCCTGGAGCCAGACTTGGGAGTTCAGGTCCTGCCCCTGCCCCTTCTAGTGACGTGGCAACAAGGATGGTGTCTGCCACACGCGAAAGCCCGCACAATGGGGCCAGCAGTGAGGCTGCGAGCGCTACTGTTACTATTATTCCTCCCTCAAAGCTCCTCCATCTGGGCTGGAGATGGAGACAGACGTTTATTTTCCTTCCTTTTGACAGAGGGAGGAGTGATGTGAGCTCATATTAGCAGTTTGAATGTCAAGGACGGGATGGGGGTGCGGTGAGAGGGATTCTAGGCCTCGTTGGAACTGGTGCCTGCAGGGCTCGGCTCTGGTGCGTTCCACTTAGCTCTGTGTGTTCTCCAGCACGCGCACACGTACACACACACCAGTGGTGCTCGGTAAGGTGAAGGAAATGAGCAAGTGAGGAAACAAGTACGCTTTTTACCCGACTCCCTGACACTTGGTGCTGAGGGCTCTGACAGTCTGGTGGGTAGGGCTGACCAAACCCAAGTGCCAACTAAAACCGTTGCTGGCTATTTTTGGGACAGATGACCCACCACTTCCAATGACTTGCTCCTACATGGCCTCTAATTTCATTAAGCCTCGGAAACAGTGACATCACAAGTGCCTCCTGGTAGCCGCCCACATATGGCGAACCACAGAATGATCTGAGATTCGTCTAGAAGAGCAGGGCAGAAGCGAGGTCCGAAGCAGCAAACGTTAAAATAGCAAAGCTGAGGCATTCTGCTATGAAAAGAAATTACAGAGCAACTCCATTAGTCAGACATTTCCAGCGGCAGTTTTCCTTGCTTGGGAATGGGAGAAGACTTACGCCTGTTTATTTTAGGTGAGGTTATGCAGCCATTCCTCGCCCTGTTGGCTCGCTGTGGCCCGCAGAGCGAATTTCTGTTGAGTAAATTCTCTACTCTCATTGACCTCCAGTGCCCATGTATGTTTTATCCTAAGGAGCAATGAACTTACGAGGCACGGATTTGGCACCTTTTTGATTAAATGGGTGACACATGTACTTACCGTACCACTAGAGAAAGGCACAAATCCACACGGACTTAATTTTTTTCCCTGTGGGGTCCTTTGCCCGGTTCTTTCCAAGTAGGCTCTGCCTTCTCAGGCACAGAGCAAAAAGGGAGAGGGAAAGACTGCTTAATTCTGATTCCTGGTCGGCACAGGGGGCGGTCAAGGCTGGGCCAGGCCTTCACCCAGCAGGAGCAGAGGTGACGGAGGCGTCTCAGAGAGGGCGCAGGCTCGATGGGAAAATAAGCTTCCGACCTGTGACGTTTTGGTCTGCGCACAACAGGATTTTTCTGATTGAGCGTGAAGGACACTTTGGGCCCATAATCCTTTGTTACGGGGCTGTCCTGTGCGTTGTAGGATGTTTATCAGCATCCCGGGCCTCTACTCACTAGGTACCAGTAGCATCCTTAGTGTGACAACCAAAAACGTCTCCAGACATCGTCATCTATCCCCTAGGAGACAAAATCGCCCCTGATTGAGAACCACTAGCACAAGTGATAACAAAGATTTCACCAGCTTTTTAGTGGTTTGTTTTTGTTTTAAATACTCTGACTCTAATTATACCTTGAACTGGGCAAGTCGCCCCTCTTCTTGGGGCTTCCGCTGTCTCATCTGTAAAATGAGGGGGTTGGACGCTGTGATCTCAGAGTCCAACCTGACAGTGGACAGTGTGAAGGGCAGGCGGCCCCGGTGGGGTCTGTGATTGAATCCTGTCCCAGCAGGTGGAAAACCTTGTCCACCTCGCCACACTCACTGCTCCCGTTCTCCTGGCATCCAGGTCAGTCTTTCCTAAGTCCAGTTGATGATTCTCTTGCTTTTATGAGAGCCCATTTTGACTTTTTTTTTTAAGTGAAAATTTCTGAATATCTACAAAAGTGGAAGAGCCCCGGGGACCCGTCACCCCGCTTGCCCACCATCCATTTCATTTTAACCTTGTTCCTAAGGCCAGCCAGCGGGCCTTTTCTCTGTGCAGATTCATTCACAGACTCATGCGTTCAGGTCAGTTCCCCAAGGACCTGGATTGGGCAGGGCTGAGCAACAGGAGGCCTAGGTCCTGCCGTCGAGAAACTCACGGCCCAGTGTGGGGACAGGGAGAGAGCATTTTTCATTTGACAACCGTAACGAATCCATCCTTTAGCTCTCTCTGTTCGAGACGAAGCAATTTCAGTCTTTTAACCTTTCTCCCTAAGAAGTATTTCCCACCCACATGGTCCTGGTTGGTCTCTGCTTTGTTGGGGAAAGCAGCAAGAACATACACCAGGCCCGGATTCAGATCCCTGCTGTGGCACTTCGTAGGTGTGTGAGCTTAGCCACGGGCCTCTCCGAGCCTCATCTGTAAAATGGGTTAGCAATCCCTAACTCGCAGGTTGGCTGAGAGAATTGGATGAGAACATGCTGGTCGAGGGTCTTGCATGAGCCAGGCACAAACTGGGTGTCCACTAAGCATCCCTTTCCCCTCCCCCGTTCCCCTTGCCCTTTCTTCCACATTCTTTTGACTGAGTGGCCACAGGTTATCTCATCACCCCATCATGCAGTGAGGGGCTGACTAATGTGAGCCTCAGAGGACAGACGGCTCACTTCCTGGTCTGTCACATGCCTGGGTTCTCACTACCCTCCCAGTAGCCCATTTTCTTCATGACATTCACTGCTGACTCACTTGGCTTGTGGTCAGCTCTGAACCCAGGGTCTTTTTCAGCTCCCCCTTTTTCCCACCACCACTCCTCAGCTTGGATTTGTGGCATGGGAATGGGAATAGGATCCTTGTTAGAGAACATTCTGTGTAGGTGGCCCTACACAGGGAGCCAAAGCCCTTGCTCGACTGGCAGCTTCATGAGGCCGGGGGCTGTGTCTCCATCAACCACTTTCATTTTTCCACCATCTAGAACACTGCCGGTAGGTACCTAGTAAATACCTGTTGAATGAATTAATGTATGTTGAACTGGTCCCTGTCTTCCAGGAGATTCGCACCTGCTCTGGGGCAGCATCCCTAGAAAATCAAATAAACAAAACCTCGTGACTTTAGTTTACCAATAATTGAGCTCTAAAATTGCTTTACACACGTGTGGACCCAGAGTTGGGTTTGAATCCCAACTAATCATGGGTGTGGTGACTTTGAGCAAGTTGCTTATGGCTAAGCCTTCGTCTTTCCCTTGGGAAAATGGGATATCAGTATCTGCCAGGGTTACTGTGAGAGTTAAATTTAAATATATATGTGCAAGAGCCCAGTGCGGGCTGGCGGTGATCTTGGTTTCGTGTCATTCACTCTTTCTGGAGCACGTACCTCCTTTGATGGCCATTGCCTCCTGTAGTTTGGTCCAAGTCTAACCTCCTCTCTTAGACCTTTGTTTACCCAGCCTTCCTCCCACGTCCCACCCCCAACAAAGACATACTCTGCCTGACACCCAGTACACTCAGCAAACATTTGTTAAGCCAGCTCGTCAAATTCAGATGCCTACAGGGACCAGGCATGTGTGAAGACAGCAGGCTGGGTCGGATTTTTATGTGAAATCTCCCCCTTACATTTTTAAAAAATTTCCTAAAGTTAATTTTTTTTTAACTTTTCATGTGGAAATAATTTCCGACTTGCAAAAAAAAAATTTGCAAACAGAATACAAAAACTTCCCATGTTCCTTTACCCAAGTTTCTCTAAATGTTATCACTTTATATAACCAAATACCATTATCAAAACCAGGAAAACAGCACTGTGCAGTACGAGTAACTAATCTACAGATCTAACTCAGGTCCCCTCCGTTGTCCGATGATGTCCTTTTTCTGATCCAGGACATCCTGCACGATTTGGTTGTCCTGTCTCTCCTGCCTCTTCCAATCTCTGACAGTTCCTTAGTCGTTACTTGCCCCCGTGACCTTGGTACTTTTGACAGATGCTGGCCCACCATTTTGCAGCGTGGTCCTCAGTTTGGATTTGTGTGTTGTTTTCATATGATTCATTTGAGCTTGTGCATTTGGAGCAAGATCCTCGCAGGAGTGATGGTGTGCTCTCCCCAACACATCATATCAGGAGGCACGTGACATGTCTCCTTACTGGTGACACTCCCTTGGTTACTATGCTGTCTGCCAAGTTTCTCCTCTGGAAAGTTGCTCTTTTTCCTTTTGTAGTGAGGACAGGCTTTGTGGGGAGGTATTTTGAAGGCATGTAAATAGCCAGTTCCTCAACAAACTTCTGATTTATTCATTTCTTCATTTATATCTATATAGAGTCTTACCTTTCTATTTTCTCCAATGGGTTGTAATCTGTGGCTCTGATTAGTGATTTTAATGTTCGCATTGCCCTTTCGTGGCCAGTGGGGCCCCTGTAAGCTGGCTTCTTGTCCTCTTCATACAGCCCCATCTTTCTTGCTTTCTGACATAAAATGATGCTCCAAGGTCACCTCGTGTTTTCCCTGCCCAACCCTGGAGCTAGCCGTTGCTCCAAGGAGCTGCTCCTTTTGGGTAAAGAATGATATTTAGAAGCCGAGGTTTGCGTGCCAGACGTGCCCTTTGTTCCTGGCTGTCACTGGTCCTGGACCGTCTCTATGGAACGAGTTGGGAAATGTATGTATAGATGATGTGTATGCACCCTCATGGATATTTCTGTATTTATACATGTTGAAAACCATGAATTCACAGCGATTCTTTCATTTCCACTCCCCATCACAGGGTTTATTCTGCTTTTCTCTCTGTGCACCTCCCTTCCCCGACAGTGAGGCACCTGGCCCCCAACATCCTCACTGTATTTACTTATCGGATTGGTCCCCCTGTACGGAACAGTCTCCTGTCTTTCCTTCCTCCCCCTTGCCGGGTTCTGACACTGTGCCTTGGGCCACCCCCACCTTGTCACCCTGAGCTGCCTCGGACTTCCCATAAAACTCCCAGTTTTGGAATGATGGTCGATATATCTTTAAAACTGTGAGGCCCAGTTTCTGCCCGTGGGCCTCGGATGGTGACTGGTAGTAACTGGACCAGGAAGCTGGATTGCCAGCCCCTCCCACCTCTGGGGACCACGCCCCCCGCCCCCCTTCCAGCACCACGTGCAGGTGAACGCAGCCTCCAGCACACCAGGTTAGACTCTCCTCTTGCCTCTGCTTTTGCTGTTCTCACTACCTGGGCTGCTCTTTACCTGAACCCACCCTTCCTGCCACCCTCCTGCTCTGTTCAGACATCGCCTCCTGTAGGAAGCTTCACGGGTTACCCCAGGTACCCTATGCTAGGTTCTCTGGTGCCTTCAGCGAACCCCACGATGGAGCATGGGGCTGATTTCATCTCCGTGTCCTAGTGCCTAAAAGAGGGCCCAGCGCATAGTAGGTGGTCATAAATGTTGCTCACATGAGCATTAATGATAGTAACAGCAGTGCTCAAGTAGAACTTCCGGGGTACCAAGCACGTTCTAAGTACTTCATGTGCTCTGAGTCATTCGGTCATAACCCTTATGCTGTGAGATAGTTACTGTTGTTGCCCCATTTTATAGGGGGAGGAACTGAGGCACAGGGAGGTTAAGTAAGTGATGTGCCCAAGGTCACATTTGAGCCCAGGCAGGGTGACTGCACAGTTCCTGCCGTTGCCTCTCAAATGCCTCTCACGGTGAAAGCGGTCAGCGTCCTCAGCATGCGGGAGCTGAGTAGCTATGGATTGCTGAGTCCTGTGGACCTCACCCTCGCAACCACATTCCCAGCCTGTTTCTAGTGCCCAAGCACCTGGCTGAGCAGGCAGGAGAGAAAGTGGCACCTTTTACCTCGGTGGCCCACAGGACTAGTTTCTCCCCTGAGGTCTTAGGAAACTGAGCACGTTTCACATGTTGTTAGAGTGAGCACACGGGAGTCAAGTATCAGATCTTACGCAAGGTTTCCAAGTCATTGCATTGGGTTGGCAGGGCACTGACACTCTTGCCCAATCACCAAAGGGGAAGCACACGCTGGCCCGTCACCCCCGAGGGCCAGAGCGGCAGCTCTTCAAGCCACGCTGTACCAGAGAGCCTGGGAACATGGTGCGTGGCCTTAGAGTGTCGTCAGAACTCGCCGTGTGATAGCTGCCTGCTCAGGGTCCAGTGCAGGGGAGGAAGCCAAGCGTGTGAGGAGCCTCCCGTGGGAACGCTGCCTGTCAAATCTGCCAGGCGTTTATTTCCCTTACACCTCTCAGTAGCCTACTGGGGTCTGGTAATAGTAGCCCTGTTTTTACAGACAAGAAAACTGAGGCTCAGAGAGGGCAAGTCATTTGCCTAAAGTCACCCAGCGAGGAAGGAGACCAGTCAAGATTTGAACCCAATCTTACCTCTTCAACAGCTGCCCAGACTTAAACCCATAGAGTCTGTCTGACTCCAAAACCCCAAATCCTTCTGCCGTACCCCACAACCCCTGTGTCTGCTCTGATGGGCTCCCAATGAAAGAAACGCTCCTGCGTCTGGGCCGGAAACCCACATTAAATAGGGTCCAGAGCCAGCAGCACAAGCTGATGCGGAGACTGTGGGCCCCAGGCAGGATTTGATGTTAACCCCGTGCCTTGGAGTTCAGAAGACTCTCCAGGAGCCTGGGGAAGTGGGGAGTGGAAACAGGAGGACGAGGACGAGGTGGAGGCGGGAGGGGAAGAGGGGGTGGAGAATTGACGCCGGCACGATTGCAGCAGTGCTGTCATGGAACTCAGGAAAGACTGCGTTTCCCGTTCCCTGCAACGTCAGAGAAACCTGAGACCCGGGGGTCAGTTTGTTCCACAAATGCCTGTTGAGCGCCAACTATGCGCCAGGCCCATGCTAGGGTCTGGGGACATGGCGGGGGACAAAACCTCCCCAGGCCCCTGCCCTTATAGGGGTGACATTCTGATGGGAGGGAGACCAACCAAGAAACGTAACCAAATGAGGGGTCAGGGTCCTCTTGGGTGCTGATAAGTGTCATGAGGAAGTGTGCCAAGGGTAAGGACAGTGTGGGGGCTGGGGGTCCCATCAGAGGGGGTGTCCCAAGGGAGCTGGTTCTGGGAAGAGCTGTGGCTTGCCAAGCCATGTGGCACACCAGCCAGCACCATGTACCCTGCTGCCTGAGACCCGTCCTAAGTGCCTGCCTCACCTCTGTCCCCTTCGCTCTCTGCAGGTTTGACATCTACAGGAAGGTGCCCAAGGACCTTACGCAGCCGACGTACACCGGGGCCATCAGTGAGTAGCTGCCCTTCTCGCCCTTGCCCCTCAGACCCCTCCCCACCCCCCATACCTGTGCCCTCTCTCCCTGCGCAGAACTGCGGGGCCAGGGAGGAAAGGGGAGGGAAGGAGGGGAGACGTGATGGGCATCTCGCCAGGCCCTCCACAGCGTTGCTCGTCTCATCCCTGTGCTCAGCGTAACCTGTAAGGCATAGGCGGCATCTGAGTGGGTGGGTACGCCAGAAACCACTACTTCCTGCCCTGGGAGAGGAGACGGGGGCTCAGGGATCAGGAAGAGACTTATTTTTCTCTTTATACCTTTTTAAACTAGTTGTGTTTTTGACATAATCATGTCTTTAACCATTTTTAAAAAATAAAAATCCCACCCAGATTTTGGTTCCTTTGATCCTTCATTAAAAGGGGCCCCAGAGCTCCTTAGAGAAATGGCTGATTCCAGGGCTAGGGCAGGAAGGGTACAAAATAAGCCGAGAACGTCTTGTGCCAGAAAGCAAAGAACTCTCCGGATTAAAACAAGGATGGGACGTGTCCGCAGGACACAGGAGCCAACCTGGAAGAGACCAAAGACCAATGCTGGGGCAGTTTTGAGTAACAAAATAATGGTATTACTGGCTTATAACCCAGAGAATTAAGAAAAAGATCCAGGCGTCCATACTGATCTAAATAAATGGGAAAGAAGGAACGACTGTTCCTTACAGAAACATTTCAAATAATACATACATGGACACATCCCTGTCCCGGATTTAGAGCTTCAGTCTCCTCTCCTGGAGTGTGGGCTGGACTTGGTGACTCGCTTTTAAAGAGAAGAGCCTGGAAAGGAAATAGTTACAGTAACCAGAGTGTGAAGCCAGCACCTTCACTGAACGATGAAATTAGCATCAACTAGTGAGATCTCACGTGGCTGTCACCCCCCACCCCCGATGGGACGTGATGGGAAGGGCGCCTAACCTCTGTGAGGTCTTTCCCCAAACCACAACCCAGTATAGTCATAAGAAAACATCAGACCGCCCCAGATTGGGGAACATTCTACAGGACACCTGACCAGTCCTGTTCAAAAGTGGCAAGGCCCTGAAAACCAAGGAAGGACTGAGGAACTGTCACAGATTCGAGACTAAGGACATAGAATGACTGAATATGAAGTGGGGTCCTGGGTTAATTCCTGGAACACAAAAAGGGCCTGAAGTGGGGAAACGGGGGTTCTGAACAAGCCTGTAGCTTAGTTAGTAATAGTCTTGTACAATGTTGATTTCTCCCCTTGGGCAAATACACCAGGGTATGGAAGATATTAACAGAAGGGAAAGCTGTGAGACAGCTGTATGGGAATTTTCTGTACCATCTTTCTATCTATTATTTCTCAATAATAGAAAGTTTAGGAAAAATTAAAGCAAAGCAAAAGTGTCACGCAAGCAGGAATGATTTAACCTCATTTTCCGGATGAGAAAAGGACCCAGAGAGGTGAAGTGACTTGTCTGAAGTTGCACAGCTTGCAAAAGATGGAGCCAGGACTGGAACTCGGGTGGGCCTCCCTGCACCCGAATGGTTGGTGTGAGGGCAGGATCCTCCCTCTGGCCAGTCTTTTGGAGCTGGGCAGTCAAGTTGGAGTCCACTGTGGCCTTCCAGGCCGTTGTTTGGTAGGGGGATGACCTTGGGGATCGCCCTACTCTGGCCAGCCCTGCACGGCTCTCCCTCCCTCCAGCTCCTTGAAACTGTGGATGCCTTCTCGAGTCCTGGGTCTCCACATCTCTGGGGAAGGGGACAGAGCAGCCAGGGGGCAGGCTGTTTGTGCTGCAGGCTCAGGTGTCCCGAGAGCTGGATTCATTCTTCCATTTGGTAGCTGGGTGACCTTGGGCAAGTCACTTTACCTCTCAGCCTGTTTCTTGATCTCAGGATGAAAGGACATCACGCCTGTCAAGTGTGGGGTACGTGCATAGATGACTCCTTATCATCACTCTCCTGGCGCCCACAGATCATGAGTATCTGTAACCCCAGGACCTGTGAGACTTTGCGCCTTGATCCCCACAGAAAGGATTTCGGGGGACATGAGAAGAGGAAAGGGGCTTGTTCTACCTGTTAACTAATTTATGAACCTGCTCTAAAAAATTCAAATGAGGCTTCCTGTCCCCTTCCTGCCACCAACTAACAGCTCAGACCCCTTCGTCTCAGCTCTCCACAGCCTCTCCCGTGAGAAGTGTATTTAACAATCAGGTGTGTATCCTTCTAGAATTAACAAATATGTGTAGAGTCAGGCTTTGATACACCTATGTCATTGTTTTAAGCACAGGTGGGAGCATGCTTTGCATCCATACCGTCTTCCCAGCTTCACACCAGCACATAACCAGTCACCACATTCTTCTTTCCAACTGTGCATTTTTCCATTCTCCGGGTGACCCACGGCTTATGTAACCAGCCCGCTGGGGGTGGACATTTCTGATCCCAGTTTATTGCTATAGCAGACATCCTTGTCCATATATTTTTACATCCTTAAATGGTTATTTGTGTAAGGTAACTTTCCTAGAAGAGGAATGACTGGGTCAAAGGGCACGTGTGCTGTAAAATTTAGAAGGCGCTGACAAATGGCCCTCCGGAGATGTGGTCTGTTTTGCGGTCCTAGCCACAGCGTGCATGGCAGCAAATCCCTTCATACAAGAGGAAAGGCGTGAGGCCCGGGAAGCCAGCCCTTAGCTACCATTTAGTGAACAAATATTTATTAACCAGGTCCTGGGGCCAGACTCCGTGCCAAGTCCTGGGACCACGTAGAATGGGCTTTGGTTTTCATCCTGGAGGAGCGAGGGCTGCGTGGGGCAGCAGACACAGAAACACCATTTCGTGACGTGAGGATAAGTGCTATTAATAACTGAAGGAACCGGCCAGGGCCCTTGGAGACCCACGAGTCGGGTTTGAATTTTGCCTCCTCCTCTTAAGCATTAAGAATTTTGACCTTGGACAAAATTTGTTGACTTCCTGGAATGTTGGATCTCAGGTCCAGGGCCCCCTTTATTGGCTGCACCAGGTTGCCCACTCGCAAGCATTCTCCTGGGGTCACATTCCTACTGTCTAGTGCCTGAGTCAGTCTCAGAAGTCTGGAGGCAGAGTCGTAGCATCTTGCCCAAACATGGATTGAAAAATCCTCATTGAGCCCTCAGTATCAGAGGCCTTTCTGGCTGGCATACTTTCTACCTGCCTTCCCATTTTTCATTCATTCGTTCAGCAGGTACTTACTTTGTCCCTTCTCAGAGCCAGGCACTGTGCTAGACCCTGAGGCTGCCATGGTGCTGAGACACCATCTCTGTCCTCCCAGTCTGGGGACGGGGGTGGGAGGAGCAGACTGCACGTGTGATCAGGGCTGTTGGGCATTTGGGCTTTAGCTGAGCAGACTCGGTGCTCCTCGTGTCCACCTGCCAGGTTGACCAGCGCTTGTCCAAGCCTTGAACAAAGCACACAGGTTTCAGAAAAAGGTCAGCCCTGTCTCTCCATCTCCGATCTGGACAGAGTGAGAACCTGGGGGCCCGGTTGCAGGCTCGGGCCAAGGAAGGCAGCTAGAAGACTTGGATTGGCTTAAGTCAGCATTGACCTTCAAAATGCTTCCTTATTTTGTGCTTGTTCATCACTGCAGCATCTGATGGTTACTAGGGCTGAGGGTGGGTGGGAGGGGTGAAAAGGGTTCTGATACGTGGGTCCCATGTGATGTGATGCTGTTCAGAAACACTGCAGGATTAAGGAGGGGAGTGTTTGGCCCGCTCCCTGGGGTTATTTTCCAGGACACATTGTAACTGCAGTTTGCAGGTGAGAAGGAGGAGGGTGTGAACCAGGAAACTTTGATTGATAGCTGATCCCCTGCAGTAGATTTGCTCAGCAGCTGGAGAAGACATTTGAAATTCATCTCTATGCCATAAAAAACAAACAAACAAACTTGGCCACTCCGTATAAATGGATGTGACACCTGCTTAGACATAGATTGCTGAGTGAGCAAAGCATGGCTGAAAAGATGTGTATGTTACGCAGCTGTTTGTTTAGAGTGAAGAAAAAAGGATTTATACACTTATGCTCATATGCTCATGGAGGGACACAAGACTGTAAGGATGGCCCCTCTGGGCAGGGGACAGTCAGGAGCAAGGAAAAGACTCACACAGTAATGCCTCTGCAGCTTGGGTTTTTTATCATATGCCTGTATCACCTCTCCTAAGAAACAAAAACGTAAAACCCTTTAATGCTGCCCTATACAGCTTTTTCAAAGTTTGGAAGAATTGGGGAGTAACTCTAATATCCCCCATATCTTGGTGTGTGTGGTTTTCGCAGCTTGGTGGGGACTCTGGGGATGTCACTGTCCCGCCCTTCACTTGGAGCCTGAACTCTTCGGGTTCCTTCCCTTAGGGCACTGGCTCTCGAAGCACAGGCTCCAGTCCTGTCCTCCTCGCCAGAATGCATCTTTGTTCAGTTCAGATAGATGGCTAGATAATAATAGTAATAGTAATATATACAATGATAATAACAGTGGCGATGACAACAATGATGATGATAACTGATGTCAGCGTCAATGACAGTGGCTCAACCAGTCCAGGTGCAGGCTGTCAGGAATGTAGCAGAATCAGCAAGTGGGACTGGGAACTTTTTTCTCGTTGAAGGAAATGAAGGATCTGCACATTTGTCACATCACCTTCCCCCCAACACCAAACCCCCCGAGGTCTCTGATGAAAGTCCTAATAATGAGTTAATGCTTGAGCCATTATTACCTGCCAGGCACTATTTCCAGCCTAGCCCTGTGGTGTGGACATTTTCAGAGCAGCCCCATAAGGTCTATACTGCTGTTGCCATTTTACAGGTGGGGAAACTGAGGCAGGGAGAGGTTAAGTACCGTATTTCCCCATGTAGAAGACGCTCCCATGTAGAAGACACACTTTAATTTGGGGGCCCAAAATTTGAAAAAAAATGTATTACATAAAGTTATTGAACTCAAGTTTTATTCATCATAAAATTCATAGAACTCCTCATCACTGTCAAAACTCCCAACCATTAGCTTGTCCTCACCTGTGTCTGATGACGCATCACTGTCTTCATAGATTGCCTCGTCCTCAATTCCATCTATGGCATTTGAAATCTACAACCACTGTATATGACACACCCAGTTTTTAGACCCCAGATTTTTTGGAAAAGGGTGTGTCTTATACATGGGGACATGCGGTCCCTGACCCAGGGGCACACCCTGCGAGTGCTTGCCCACTGGGTGGCCCTGCGATAAGCCCAGCTGAGTAAGGCCTGCTCAGCCCACATTCTGCACTCTGGGGGCTGGCGCCTGCCTTACCTTTTCCTGCCTCCTGGGTGCCCGGCCCCATGGACTTTTTGCCTTCTGGGATATCGGTCTAGTGAGAGAAGCAGCCACAGATAACCATTAAAATGTGGAGTGTTTGAGCAGAGTCTGGGAACACAGAGGAAAGAGTGTCCAGCTCCAGGGACATTTGAGCTGGGCCTCAGCCTGGGAGGTTGTGTAGGAGTTCACCACGCAGAGCGGATGACCATGGAAGAAGAGAGAAGGTGGGGAAGGTCATTCCAGGCAAAGGAACCACAGGAGCAAAGGAACAGAAGTGAGACGCATATTTAGGCTCGGTGTGGCTGGGTGCTTGGATGTTGGGGGAGTGTCAGGAGATGGGGCTGGGGATGGAGTTGAGGGCCAGATCCCAGGGTATTTAGTTAGGTCCTGCCCCAAAGAGTGACTCCAGGGCCACAAACTCCAACATCGTCAGAGGCCAGGCAGGCAATGTGAATACGAGTGCACTGGGCCGACCCTGGAGGTCTTCCACTCTACGTTTCAGCCTTCATTCTCCCATGAAGAATGGCCCCTTCCCTGGAAGCACAGTGCTCAGCATCGTTTTCCTACTTCTGATGGGGACCTGGGCACAATGTTGATCGTACCACAGGAGGTAGTGATACACCACAGCAGACACTCTGCCTAGGAACCAGGGAGGCAGGAGGGAGTGGTGGGGCCTGTGGTAAACTGGTGAACTCAGGCCCCAGGTGGGAACAGGGGCTTGGAGTGGTCTGGAGCTGCCGGAAAGCTGGACTTGGATCTTCAGCTGGTTCAATGTCAACTCCAAATTTTAAAATATGTGTCCCTTGAGCCAAACAGAACACTTTTGGGGGCCACCACTTTGTGGCCTCTATTTTTGACTGATGTCTGCTTTAAAGGGCTCTTGTGGGAGAAGGCTCTGCCTGTGGGCGGGGGGGGGTCGGTCCACAGGGAGGGTCAGATCAGCACCAAAGGCCAGTGCCCTCCGCCCTTAACGTGCATGTCTGTTGTCCCTTCCAGTTTCTGTCTGCTGCTGCCTCTTCATCCTCTTCCTCTTCCTTTCGGAGCTCACCGGATTCATAACGACAGAAGTGTAAGTTACATCCCCACCCCTGTGGGACATTCCGAGCTTTCCCAGATGAGAAGAGGGAGGGGGCTTTAAAATGGAGAGAAACCTCAGAACCTTCCGGCTGCCATTGCCAAGTCTGGCATCGGCACTCCTGTTTCTTAAAAAGGGTTTCAAAGTGAGAGCAAAAGCGAATGTGATTTGTTAAAGCTGAAGAGAGAGTTTGGCTTCTGTTTTGTGTGTGTGTGTGTGTGTGTGTGTGTGTGTGTGTGTGTAGGGCGGGTTCTGAGTCCTCCGATGAACAGAAATCATTGGCTCTCTTTGCTGTCCGTTTGTTTGGCCAGGGGGCTTTTTTCCCTCTGAGTCATCACAGGGTCATTTTGTGTTAAAGCTGGAAGAGTTCAGAGAAACCCTGCAGCTTCCTATCCAAGGGGGCGAGGGTGCTGACATCAGAGCCCGGCCCCTCAGCTAAGCCCCCAGCCCTGTTCCCAGGCCCACACTTGGTGAGGAATTGGTGCGGGCTTCCTGGCAGCGACTGACGCATTGTGAATCCATTCTGATTCCTAGTAAATGCTCTGGGCTGTGTGTAACACAGATGCCATTGGAATTATTCAGTCACGGCCTCATCCGACGCCCCTCTGAGAGGGACTTAGACCCAGGAGCGTCCTGCCTTGGCCATGGGCTTGAGGCTTCCAGGCCTCTTTGTTTCCATGTTTACAACCCAGAAAGTCATCACGGGGCTGGGCCCTGGCCACTCACTCCCCTGTTCAACACTGGAATTTTCTTTTTCACTCAGTGGAATTTCTTGATTTCCTTTGCCTCTATCTTAACCACAAGACATAGGAAACTGAAAGCATAGCTGCTGCTTAGAACCAGGAGGGCCTTGGTGCTGTATAAGCATTACCACCTTTAACCCGTAAACAGCCCTGGGAGGCAGTCATCCCCTCTTTATAGATGAGGATACTGAGGTTCAGAGAGGTCGGGGGGCTTGCCCACAGCCATGCAGTTAGCAGGTGGCTCCCAAGACCTGCTATGTCTCCTCCCTTGTTTCTGGATGCAGCTTCTTACTCTCCGCTAGCTGGGGAGGGTTTGCCTTCCCTGTTCCTCTGAACCTAACCCTGAAGGCAGGAGACCTCATGGAACGGTAGAAAGAGCACTGGCCGAGGCATTAGGAGACCAGGGCCACGTCTCTGCTCAATGACCACGTTGCTCTGTGATGCTGGAGGAGTTGCCAGACCTCTCTGGGTCTCAATATTGCTGGCCAAACAAGGGACAGTGGGTCAGAGTCACAGCTCCCTTCCAGGTCGGGGGAGGCTTATCTGCTTCCTAAGATATGACCCCTGACCTTGCAGGGGTCAGAGAAAGGACTTTGTGTCCTGCCCCCACCCCACCCCACCCCACCCCCCACACACAGCCAGCCCCTAATGGGAGATCACCTGTCTGAGCCAAGTATACTCTTTCACAGTTGGGCCATTGACGTCTAGGGGTCACCCCATCGTGAGTTGGAGGTGGAAGCAGGGAGATCAGCAAGAGATTGAGACCTGCTGGCATTATGAAGGACCTACTGTGCACCAGGCACCTGCTGGTCTCTCCAGGATGCACCCCATTTCCTGAGAGGATTACTGTGCATGCCCCTCATGTTCTGAGCAAGATGAGAGGGATACCTATGTGACAGCAACAAGGAGGGAGGGAGCCCCCGACCATGCTCCAGGCACCAGGTGGGAGGCTTTACCTGTTTCAGGCAGGGGCACTAGCAAGTGCAAAGGCCCTGAGGCAGGAATTACCTGGTGTGTGTGAAGAGCAGATAGAAAGCTTGGTGTGGGTGGAGTAAAGGGACCAAGCAGGGAAGGCAGAACACAGAGCAGGTGGAGCTGAGCCAGGCCAGGCCCTGCACACTGCTGTCTGTTAATGGCTGTCATCCTCGGTCCTGAGCCCCTAGAAGTCAGGGGCCAGGTCTGCCTTATTCACAGCTATGTGGTTCCAAGCTCAAAGGAGCTGAAAATGCCAGCAGTGGACACAGACCGTCAACAAGCAAACCACACTAGAATATATCAATGAGTGATAAGGGCTCTGAAGGGAAAAACAAAGTAGGGTAGCAGATAGAGAAGGTATGTGGCATTTTGTGAGGCTTAAACAAGATTACAGGCATAGCTCAGAGATATTACCGGTCCAGACCTCCACAATAAAATGAGTCCTAATCTTTTTGCTGGTGGTGGGGTCTTGCCTTCCATTTGTAAAAACACAGCGCCCGTGAAGTGCAGTAAAGCGAGGCGTAATAAAGCGAGGTACGCCTGAAAGGTACTTACGGTAGCGCTTGATATACTTGAATATCAGTAAGTCCATATCTCTTTGTGCATTTACTAATATCATATTTATTCCCCATCTAACACTTAAAAAGGTGGTAAAGCTGCTTAGCACCTGGCACATAATAAGTGCTCCTTGAATTTTCATTTTCTTGTCCCCTCCCTTGATTTAAGAACTGGCCTCCCTCACCTCCTGTTGACATTGGAGGGGTAGCTTAGTAAGCCCTTTGGCAGCTCAGCCTGTAGTGAGGCAGGGGGCCCCAGGCAAGTAAGTTTTGACGTCAGAGCTTGCACCTGGAGCAGGTGGGGCCCCACCTGCTGGGTGAAGGGCTGCTCTAGCAAGCCTGGACAGCGCCTTCTGTTTATCCAGGGCGGGGCTCACTCCTGTCCCAAGAGCATACTGTTCCCACAGCCCTGCCCCCTTCCCCTCTCCAGAACTTCCTTTTCCTGGGGCGTCCTGAGCACGCTGGTCCCACCGTGTCCCTGGAGAGGAAGAAAGATGAAGGTGAGGGGAGGAATCAAAACATGAGAGGCCATCCATTGAGTGTCCGCCTTGTGTGCAGCCCTCCACTAACAAGCATGTCTCCATTTGCAGTATGTGTGGCTGGAGAGAGGGAGTGAAGTGGGGACGAGAAGAGAGACCTGTCTGGGCCAGAGGCTCCATCTGTGATGATGCAGTGACCCTAGTGCCTCCTTTCTCTCTGCCGCCACATAACCATGGTACAGAAATTGCCCAAAGGGAGCTTACAGGGATTAAGGACGGAGGACACTTCAGAAAAACTCAGAGGGAAAAAGGATAACTCCTTTGGGGTCTTTCCTCTATTCAGAAGCTTGTCTGACCCCTGGAAAGCCCTGCCAATTTGAGAAAAGCTGAAGGTCACAATTCTTTTTCTTTTCCGGGAGACTGGCCCTCCATGGCAGTTGTGTGACCACAGTGGGTCGGCCCCCACCTCCCAGGAGATTGTAACCCAAGGAAATGAGGTCACTGCTGGTTGGATCAACATCGCTCCAACCCTGGCCTGTGGTTATCAGTGACATAAGACGCTATTCTAGCCCGGCCCGGTGGGAGAGAGGCCTGTTTGTTTGGGTGGTTGGACTCCAACCTGGGTCCAGGACAGGCCATTAATTATCGTTGGGAAAGTGACCCCACAGGGTGCTCTGAGGCCTGCGTTTCCAGGGGAGCAGCACGCTCCACCCCTGCCCCCACCGCCCATCGGAGAACGTGGCCACCGAACATAGCAGCCTTTGACTGTCCGGGCTCTGGCTGCTCTTAATTATTAACCTGATGAGGATTTATAATAAGAAACCGTGGTGCCTGGGGCTCTCCATTGACCATCGATAGTATAAACAACTCATTGTAATTTCCAGTTCTGATTTATCGGAGGCGAGCGAATGCCAGCCACCCAGGTTAGCACTTTATGATGATCAGCTCCTTTAGTCGTCACAAAACCCCTTGCGGTAGGTAGTACTACTGTCAGCTTTAGCCCCACTTTACAGCTGGGGAAACGGAGGCACCAGGAGGCTAAAACCACAATGAGGTTAATACAAGTCGTGTAACCAGAGTCAGACCCAGGGCTGTCTCATGCTAGAGCGTCACCCTGGCCTGTCACCCCACCCTTTCCTGCCCAGAGCACTTTGGAGCCCCGGGCCTGGGAGCCACGCACGGCTTTGTGGTCAGAATAGTTGACGAGACGACTTAGGTGCACTGTCCCTGGGCGAGGTGGCTGAGCAGGCAGAACTCGAGAGGCCATTGCCCACCCAGTGGGGATGTGGAGCTTACCTTGACCTGTGTCCTCACACGTTCCCCGAAGGCCCGGAGTGGGGAGGCCAGTAGCTTCACCAGGAGGAGGGGCTGAACGTCGCCCTCGGAGCCCAGGTCACCCACTCTGAGGCCTGGGTTGTGAGCCAGGGCCAGGTGGGGCGCCACAGTTGTCACATGAAGGAGCAACGGGAGGCCTGAAGGCTTCTGAGCACAGTTGCAGGATCAGGTGCGTGCCTCAGAACGCTCACCTCTTGTGAAGATGGGTTTGGGGCGGGGTGACCCTGGAGGCCAGGGCAGAGGGGCTGAGGGTTCCTAGGGCAATGGCTGTAGAGAACGAGTGGGGACAGGACTAGATGTCTGTGAAGAGCTGATTTTTGGACATTTTTACCTGGTAGGTAATAACGCACTTACACCTGGAGTGGTCAGGATGGAAAATGCAAGGTCCCGGAGAGCTGGCTTACATAACCTTTTAGTCCTCACCTAATATGTCCTTCCCCTCGCTCTCCCACCCCTGGTTTCTTGCTTCGGGCCTCACTGCTGTGTAAGTTTCCATTAAATCCAGTATTAAGCATGGAGGTCAGCGACCCTGGGCAGGAATCTGAACTATTCAAGTGCTCTTCTGAAAGCAAATAAAATTGTTTTCCATCGATGTCATCGGATTCACGCCTCAGCCGAGAATTTCAAGGCCCTCCATCACGGTCCACCTACGCTGCCCCCACTCAGCCCTCCCCGGCCGCTCTCTCCCTCTCTCCCTACATGGCCACGGCTTACCCACCCCCACACAATCCGCCCGACTCCCTGACACTGGCTGGCGTCCCCTACCTGGAATGTGCCCCCCACTCCCCCACCAGCGCAGTTCATTACTTCCTCCGTCAATTCTCTCAGGGAGCCGTCGTCTGCTAGGGGCGTCAGATGCTGCCATCCGTGGGGTGTGGCAGGTGGAGGTGACGGAGGCTTGTGGG